GAAAGGAGAGGGAAAAGGTGGTGCGGGGCGGGACGGGGCTCGACGTACTCGCCCGATCCTGATCCCTCTGAGGAGACTGCCTCCTAATCGTGTTTAGAGACAAATTGCGTTTCGGAACAATTACACACTAACTGCAAAAGTACACTCTAAAAAATATTTGTGGGAAAAATCCCACAAATGTATATGAAGTTATTTACATATACATGTGTGGGATTTTTCCTACACTGCTGTGTAGGAAACATCCTATATGCGTGCAGTAGATGTCCTTGACAGGAGTGGGATTTTTCCTATACGAGTGTGTGGGGAAAAATCCCATACGAGTGCAGCAGATTTTCTTGACAGGTGTAGGGTTTTTGCGATTCGCATTTTTAAAAATGAAAATGATATTTTGAGGACTGTGGACTCGGATCCTACACAGCAAACATTTTTCCGTGAAGTCCCCTGGTCGATTTGGGAAAGCACTTCTCAGTGTGCTTTTCCCGCCTCATTTCTTTAGGTTATGTAGGAACTTTTAAGGGAAAAAACGGGTTTACTTTACCACTTCAGAAATTGTCTAATAAATTATTTAAACTATCTCAATCGAAAACAGTAGCAGACTAATAGTATTTAATTCAAAATTGTCGATTTTTGTTCCCTTCGTCACGATGTCCGATTGACGATTATCTCAGATAACTAAAGAAATATAGATTTTATGTCGGGTTTACTCTAAAAACGGCTACGAAACTCGAGCAGCACTTCTCTGACATATATTTCACGACCAACAACTTTCTGACTTTAAAATACTTTATTAGTATAATCAGTTCAGTCGTGGTTTTGTCACGCGCGAAATAGGGTTAGTTTAACGGACTTCAAAACGAAGAAAATCATATTTACCTTGTCACCTTCTTACCACCAGGTTCCTACTAATTTCTTATACGACGGCAAGCACTCACTACACGCTGCACGCTGCACCTTGTGAGAAATTTGAGATAACAGCAACGGTTATCCGAATTTTGACAAACCTGGTGACACTTTTTAAAGTGTTCGTTTCTCTTCTATTGGTGATTTGGGTGCTCGATATAGTAGTAATGCGATGTATCATAGATTTATTTAACGTAAAACATGGGTGTTTTTACCAGGATCAATAAATTACGAGCGATGATAACGAAAACAGACAGTAAAGCGGGGTCGGGGACAGCGCATTTTGCGTCTGCTAGGGGAGTTTAAGATATATTTAATGGTGATAAAATGGGTTTGCAATCAATTAAATGGCCTTGCCAAGTTTCAGACACGCTATATTTTGGTAATAATGTGTTCGTTTTAGCTACGGTAACGATTGGGAGAAATACAACTGAGTTGTATTCTCGGACACCGACATGCATCTTATTTGTGAAATCACCCATATTTCTCTTAAGAAGCACTCTTCACACAACATGATTCCTTTGTGACCACTGCAGGACAACGAGACTGCCGAATAATTGTACCTTAGCAGCAGGACTGATGTGTCCACGAATCATGAACTGTGATTTTCTTATTGCGTTGTTGTAAATTTTCAAGATAAAAATAGCAAAATTCCCACACTTGTATGGGAAAAATTCTTCCTAAACACTTGTAGGCATTTTGCTACAAAAGTGTGGGATTTTTTACACACGTATCGGTTTTTCCCTATAAACTATTTCGTGTGTACACATGTGTAGGAAATTTCGCGTCGCACATGCGTATGAGATTTTTCCTACACACTTGTACAGCAAAAAAAAAAACAACATTTTTTACAGTGTACATTTTCATACATGTCATACACTATAAAAACCATATATGTTTGATTTGTGTGTACGGATTTATGTACGAAATCATGCATTAATGTTTATAATTTTATGCATAAATAACCACAAACATAAGCATTTTTAGTCGATTAGTTGATGCACAAAATTTAACATATTTCTGTAGGAATAAGTACACAACCATGCACGTTTTCGTACAGAAATTGGTACGCGCGTAACACTCTATACGACGTTGTTCAAAAAAGTACTTCCCCGTTAGTGTGTAGAAACAATTCGCCTCTGATGCAAACGTCGTGCACGATATCTGAGAGCCGCTTGCTTTTTATTAGATTTAAAATTATCTGTGCTAATATATCGCAAATGCCTTTACCTCTTCAAAAAAGGACGGACTGAGGTAATTTCTGAATAAGAAGAACAGGGGTAATGTCATCTGCTCCCGCTCCCGGACCATCAAAAAGCCTCATCCAACCTTTCTTGGGCCGGCTACGAGGGGGACTGACGTTTTATGATGGTCTGTGAGAAGAATATAAACCTTCACTCTAAACAGGAAATAAGGACAATCACCGCTTTTTAGTCATCTTCACGACTAGTAGGACAACAATGTTGAACTGCTACATAGTTTAGTTTTGAATATATTTAATGTTTCTGGGTATTAATCACACAGGAGCGGCCTAGCGATCACAGAGCTTTCAATCGGAACTGGGCACAGAGATGTTTTATTTTTCTTCTTCTTTACAGTATCAGTGTTACAACATACAAAACTAACTTTCATAAAGTTTGGTTTACACTTTTAACCTCAACAAGTTACATACACAAAACTACTAAAGTGGTGGGGCAAAATCCAAATCAGACAAAAGAAAACATTTAAAAAAAAATACACCCAATACTCTTAAGAGTTGTCCACTGTTTCAAAAGTTAAGTACTTCTCTATTGCTCTTAAGGACTTAATAGCTTTGTTTGCGTTATCAGAGCAATATTTGGTGTGGTCTGAATCTATATTATACCAACCTAAACCTGACTTGTAGTGGATCAGGATAAATTCAAGTCGTTTAGCTTGATAAAAATAGCTAATTCTATTGTCTTGATTTTGACTGATTTTGGCAAGGATTCTATAATTAGAAGAAAGGTGTTTGTGAAGTTTTGATCGTAGAAAGGTTGTGTAGAGGTCTGTCCGTTTTGCACATAAAGCTAAATGTTCGCGCAACATTTGTGTAGCTCTCTCGATATAGACTGTTTTGTTTAATAAACTCCCAAGAAGCGCTTTGTGGTGTGCTATGTTTTTCCAAACCTTTTCAACATTTAAATACCTCCAAAATTCTGTATCCGCCATAAGCGCCTTGTACTTCTTCGACCCATCGGCTCTATTTAGGAAGGTAAGGCAATCTGTTGGGGGTGGTTCATCGCTCATTGCAATGGTGCGCCACAGAACACGCCATATTTCTTTCTCATAGGTGAGGGCCTCCTTAACAAATTCTACTCCTCCATGTTCGCATTTCCTTAATTTAAGAGCAGTGTGCGCAGACCTTGACAAAGCTAGCATGTAATTTCTCGTAGTGTTTCCTTGGCCTTGAAATGAATCTCGAATATTTTTGAGTATGCTTCTAGCCTGCTGAAATTTTTTTTTACCTTCGCAGTCCTGACGTTGTTTGAACTGTGCGCATTTACACAATTGTTCCCCTCTAGCGTTGTAAAGCTTGGCTTTTAACAAGTTAAGGCCAATAATGATATTATTGTCACCAAACAAAATCCTTTCTGTGCTCGTCTCATCGGTCAAAGTTCCTTCTTTAAGGTATTCTCCGCTATGTACAGCGTTGCGAGAATGTGAAATATTTAGCACCTCGTCTCCGCCGTAGAAAGGATAACTTGGGCAGGAGGTGCGTCTAATTGCTTTACCCGGTGAATCCGTTGTGAGTAAGCTAGTTCGTGCAAGGCGTATCTGTGCTAGAGACCATGTCACTTCATTGATTAATGTTTCTGCGTGGTCTAACTTCTGTGCATACAGTTTTTCAAGAACTGCTTCGTTGGCTAGAGACGCAATTCTCAGCTCTATGTTACTTACTTCCAATTTTCTTGTAATTTCTAGTCTTTTTATGCATTTTTCAAGGTCTCCGTTAAGAGTAATTTCTGTCAGCACAAATTGAGCTTTCTCCTTGCCTACATCTTCTTTCACTATGATATCGAACATAATCTGTGTCACTCTGTCATTAAGTAGGCTAATTAAAGATCCTACATATGAAATGTCAGCAGAGCCCTGCAGTATAGTTTTTAACAAAACATTAAGGGAATTGTGGTCAAAGACATGCAGGTCACCCGTCTTGGCCAAAATAGCGGCCAAGAAAGGAGCCATAAAATCAATGCGAGGTAACTCTCTTGCCAGGCGGTTTATCCGAAAAGGATTTTGGAGGACACAATGTGTGACACCTGCATCATTTTGTTTGACTTCTATGTCAACCAAATATAACACAAATGCTGGGTCTTCTAACGCCGATGAAACCGTTTCGTATTTTAGTTGGTATGCCCGTTCTACTTCGTTTAAAATTTTAAGTATGTTCAAAACAATAGCAGACTTGTTGACCTCGACTAATTTTCCTTGACCCCATTCCACCTGCTTTGTTTGTTGATTGTTCAGTATCAACTTTAATCTTTCTTCAATGAGTATTCTCGTCTGTGGGCTTATGTCATTCTGTCCTATGTGTCTGTTAAAAGAATCTTTATCATTCATGAAGTACTCAAACAAAACAATAACATATCGTGTTGATATGTGATTTTTACCGAAAATGGAAAGATGCAAGAGTCCATTTACTTCGTTTTTTATTTCCTCTTCCAGTGTAATGTTTGCTGAATTGTTAATACTGGTAAAACTGGATAGTACTGCTAATTGCGCTGCCAGTTCGCTTAAACCAAGTTTCTCCATGTAATCAGAACATAATGACTTGTCAAGACGGCGTTTCTCTTCCGTATCTCCTGAAATTTTTTGCACAGCCCACCATTTTTCAAATATCTCTCTCTTTTGAAGACTACTTAACTCCGGCAGAGAATGCACTATATCTTCATCTTTATGGTCACTGCAGTCTAAAATTGGAGCCAGACAGTTGACGTACGTGCTAACTATTTTAGATATTTCCTTTTCGATCCAAGCCGAATCGTAAGCATCAGAAAGGTGTCCAGTCCCTTTAGAAGTGTATAAGCGAAGGTTTGCATAATGTTTTCCAGTTTTCTCAATGACAGAAGATAAATCCGTTCGAAGATCAAGGAAGTCTTCGTCATTCCTAAAACACTTGAGAACCTCAGACATGTTTAGTGCCAGTTCATATCTGTACATATCAATAACTGCGGATGGTATATTCTGACTTACTTGAGTGGCAGTGAGGTTTTGAAAATCATGCATAATACTATTTCTCAACTGACTCAATCGACCTCCAAGTGGGCTTTTCTCTTCGGTTAGTCTGGGGAAGACATTCACGAGCAAATCGAATACGACTTTCTGAAGGCGAGAAGGTTCTTCGCTCAATTTATCTACATTCTCACAAAACTTACGGATTGAATCAGAAATTTCTGTTGGTGTTGTGTATCTTTCAGCCGAGCCAAATTGCACTGCATTTTGTTTCAAAACTTTGAACACATTTTGGCTTTCTTGCTGCAGTATTCTGTGATTCGCCTGGCCTGGCCTGATTTGAAGATTCTTCTCTACGGTTTCAGCAAAGTCACTCATTGCACTTAAAAATTGCTCCATTTTCATTTTTAGCTTATCCTCGATGAAACTTCTAAACGTGTCAAGGGAAATTTGGAAGAGTCCAGATTTTTTCAAAATGTGTTGCCGCAGCGTTGCAAAGGTAGACAATACATCAACCACATTCTTCTGTCTAAAAACAGCATTGTAAACTCTTTTGAAGTACGCCTTTTTACAACGTTTTAATAGATCTGTTTGGTCCTTTGGCATTGGGATAGTAGCACAGTAGGTATCCTGTACCGCAAAAGTTTCTATGGAATATAGAATTGCATTTGCTGTTTTGAAGGACATACCCTTTTGCGCCCCGCGAAGAAAGTCTGTGCATTTCTTAGCTTTTTTGGTTGTCCTTTTTACTTCGTTTAGGACATTTGCAAAAAAAACTCTCCACTCAATATGGCTAAATTTGAATGATGACACTAGATCGTGCAATTGACCTGTGTTCAAATTCTTTGATTTATTTTTATCTCTGATCCAATCAGAGACAATGATGGCCTTTGCAATAGCCGAGGTTATAGGGTCATCTTTGTCGTCACTTAAAAACTCGATAAACTTATCTCGTCCCCCCTCGACTTGGTCTTTATTATTGTCAACTGTGGTCCAGGATGTAAGGAGTGTCGTTTGACTGTCAGTAACGCTCAGACGTATGAACTTCTTCTTGTCTAAACTCATATAAAATATTACATAGAGTCTAACGTCAACTTCGGTTGAAATACAAGGGGCCCAGAGAAATTTTAACAACATATCAATCTCACTCATATATTTGTAATCGTATCTGCAATGAAGTGTCGCATCAAATAAGTCAAACTCCTGCTTCTCTCCCATATGGTCATGTTGACCTCCAATATTTTGCTGCAGTTTTGTGTTATCTGCAAATAGTTGACCGGCGTCGTCGTATAGTGTTGTAATAATTTGTTGCATGGAATCATAATTTTTTGATTGGAAGGCTATGTCAAGCGCCGTCTCACAATTGTTGTTCTCAGCACTCCTGTTTGCGCCTCGGTCTAAAAGCTGGGTAATGACTTCTTGAGAGCGCTTCTCAGCATTTGCCGCATAGTGTAGACATGTGTTTCCATCCGAGTCCTTATAGTGTAAATCCGCGCCATCCTCTCCCACCAAACGGATCACCTCATCTTTGTTGCCAGCCGATGACGCCACCAGTAGCTTGAAGTTCAGGACTCTCCGCTTAAATGGGGGGCTTCTGGTTTCCTCATGGTACAGCGCCATATTATGAAATCCTGCAAAAGAATTCATCTGGTGAGGGGACAATGCTCAGCACCGAATGAGTGCCCACTTTTGACGTTTCTTTGTCCTGCATTTGCCGTTACCAAACGACAAACTTGAAACAAAGCTACTCCACGGGAGATTGGCCTCTTTGTTTTTGGCGCGCAGGACATTTGCCTTTATTTCTAGGACCCACGGACCCACCGAACTGTGGTAACCAGGTGCAAACGGTCTTGGTTGGTAATAACTGGTAATCCACACACTCGTGAGGGTCCTTTCAAAGGACAAATTTGTTGATTGAGACATGCGTTTTTGTTCACATCTTGCCCAAATGCAAACGCTCGTGTTTAATATAGTGAATTTGCCCCCCCCCCCCCTTTCCATGGACAAAAATATAATTTGTCCCAATATAGAATGCAAATTTGTAACTTGGAATAAGATGAGTAAAAAATCAATAACTACCAAAAATGTACACAAAAATGCGTCTTTCTCGGACAAAAAATGGCCATTTAGATTCAAAACGCACGCGAATCACGCATGCCTAGTATTCATTAGTAATCTTTGCAATTTGGTAATCTAGTGTACACATTTTTAAGTAGGCACCTCTCGGTACACTCTGTACAGTAGGCGCTCGCTTTAGTCCAACCTGGGGTTCGGAATGGGTGAGTGGGGTGAGCTACTGGGCTGAGCGGGGACAGAGTAGGCCTAATATATTGCAATGTAATATAGGTAATACAGGTAATACGAGTAATATCAATGTATTAGAAGTATTACCTTGTATTACATATAATACAAGGTAACACAAGGTAATAATACACAGTAATACAGATAATAGAGCGACTGAACCTATTTCGGATCAGATTTTTGTATTCCTGCCCCATACCAAAGCACACAGGTTTCAAAACAATCGCGTAGGAAGGCACCAAAAGGTTAGATCTTCCTTAACAAGAAGCAATTTTTGTGGTGTCCGTAACTGCACTCGTTTCGGAGTTATGGGAGTTTGAGTATAGACGTGATTTTGATCCGAAATAGGGACATATGAACCTATTTCGGATCAGCTTTGGATAAAGATGGTGATTTTGCCATTTTGTAGTCTGACAGTAGTCGGCTCTAGATGCAATCAAGATTTTGGTCCACAATCCACGGGGTCTTTGAATTATTGCCTGATCCGAAATAAGCATGTGCACCTGATTCGGATCAAATGAAACTATTAATTAAGAAACCGACCAGCAACAGACTCGGCAGTAGTTTTTAAGTAGAATAAGTGAAAAAGATGAGTACACGTCTTATTTTTGACCAGCTGGAATGCCTATTGCGAGAGATCGAGATAATGTAAGGGTATTTTTGACTAAATCTACATAAAATGCAGTGAAACTGGCAAATACGGTCCTCTGGACTGTCCAGGATGACCAAGTACGGATCCTAAAGCAACCCTTTCAAATATTCCGTGACAAAACTAAGTAATGGTGAGCACCAAAACAGTTCCGACCATCATTAAATCGAAGCTGCTCGCAAAACTTGACCTAATAAGTTGTTACTTTTGACCTCTACCCGCGTTTTATCCTGGCATGATATTAGATCGAATCCACGTTTGAAACGTGTTCTCTAGGCCTTGAACTAAAGATAGATACCTGGGTTCACGCGAAATTATGCGTACATACCAAGTAATGTCAATTTGATTAAACCACAACATTCTCCCACCTCCTAAACAATGAATGTTTATGTTCAACTCGGCCGCGCGGGCAGCATGGGCCGCAATAGGGCATAGCGATGGTATTTTCTGGTAGAAAACGAAAACCTTTTCACCAAAAAAATTAAAACCCATACATTTTAGCGAGGGAGCGTGTGTAGGTCTCATTGATCCGAATTAGGGGCTGATCCGAAATAGGTTCAGTCGCTCTACAGAGTTAATACTTGATATTACAGGGTAATACATGGAATTCACTTGATACTTGGTAATATCAGGTAATATTGGTAAAACAGCTGCCGGGGACACCAGTTGTTCACCCCTCGCGGTTGCTACATGCAGCGTCTTCCCCCACTCCTTTACCACTCTATGGCGCGCTCGCTCACACTGCCGCCCGGCCGGCCGGCGCCGGAAAGAGCACAAAATTTAGCGTCCCTTGGTAAGTAAGGAATTTTTTTAACCCCATTCCGGTTGCCGAAAGATGTGAGGCAAACGAATGGCGTCTATTTTAGTTTGAGGTAAGGATACTTTTTAATCTATTTCATACATTCATAGACGGTTAAAATAAGGAACAATACGTAACAGACGCCAAATTTTGTGCTCTTTCCGGCGCCGTTGTCCGTTTTGCGATCTGAGATCTATTTCAGGAGGAATGTGCTGAAATGTGACAGAATGTCCGCCGCCGGAGCACTATTTTCAGGCTCTAATATAATTCTTCCTTGTCATATTTGGATCAGTGCTCTGAAGACACATTCGTATTTGGGTATCTAAACTTCCTGCAAGTTTCAACCTGATCCGCGAAAGTAGTGCAATCTCGTAGACATAGTTCATGTGGTCTGACCCAGGATACACGACTAGTCATCTAGATCCCCGGAATCTTTCAGGACCAGTTCAGTAAAAGTTGCCCTGGCTTTTGGTTCGTCGCTGTCGCTATAGGGTAAGGTGCCCTATTGTGGCCACTGCCCCATTTATAGCCACTTTTCTCGATTTCCAGCCAATCTGGCCAAACTACTTCACATCGTTGTCTACATTACAAGAAAAAGGGGTGGCCATCATTGGGCAGGCCCATTCTTAAGGTGGCCATCATAGGGCATCTCACCCTACCCTACATAGTTACTGAAAACTTTAAATTCGTTTTTCTCTGAATGCATTTTTACAAACGGTGTGCAACCTCCAGGCCGTAGTTTTGGAGCTATCGACTTAGTATTTGGCCTGAATGTTGTCCATTCATGTGCCCAGGATCTGACAAGGGCGATTGTTTATAACTCAATTGCAAGGTGCACAAACCAGGGAAAAAGTACCCCAATTTTAACCCATTTTTTTGTACTCATTTTTTGGGAAATATTTTCAAGTATTTCGGAGTGGAATTCCAAAAAATCCTCCCGTCAGATCCTAGATACATGTTTTAAGAGAATCTAGCAATCATTTTCACTGTTACAGACCCAACGGTTCAGGCACAATCGTGCACACCGCAAAGACCTACATCAGCTCCATTTTGTTTGTGGAGGGGTCCGCACCGCTCAGTAGCCAAATAGTGGGGCCATCTTTACTTTATATATACGCGCAGTACTAAACCTCTGAGTCGCCCCATTTTTTTTTTCTAAATAAATTTTCCCCCAAACCCTTGTATTTTACAGGTCTACCCCCTTAAACAGGCTCTTCGATTTCATTTTCGATTGGACCATCGGAGTCTTCGCCAAATTACGGTTCGAACGAGCATAGACAGATATGATAGGGTTCTGATCTCGATCAACACTCTTACAAGAACGCTGATAAAAGTCCTTTACTTTCACGAGTTAGCGAACTATGAGTCAAAGCCCCATCATATTTATATTCCGCTGTTAACAGTGCACTGTAGTATGTCCACATGCTGTCAATCAGGTCGAAATGCAGTCAAAATCCGACGTCCAAAGTGTGTCCGAACTAGGGAAGGAAATAAGACGTTTTTTTACCAAGAAAAAAACGGGGGAAAAACAACAAAAAGTTAGGGGAAAACGATTTTTGGTATATTACAACTAAATGAAGCATATAAATAGTTAAAAGAGCATTCTTATCCAAAACGTAGGTGTTTAATTGCAATTCATCCGTTTGCACAGCCTCGATAAGCTTGTTCGCTTGCATAAGGTGTGCTAAACGGTCTGCATGATGAAACATCATCATGAAACATGATGAACATCATCTTAAAAAGTTAGACAGTTAGATAGGGAAAAAAATAGAGATCAAAAAGCATTTAGTATTACCAGAATGAGAAATAAATCTCCTAACACAATCAGCGGTTAGTAGCTGATTATTTGCTCAGATTGTCAAATAACCTAACTTAGCTCCTGAGGGATTAGCCCATATAAGTTAGGGATGCTATGTTGCATAAAAAAATCGGAAAGCCCACATTATTCAATGTGGCCTAAAAAGGCTTCACGTGCGGATATCGGGCCTCAAATTAGAATTTGTTTTGTTTTGCAAAGATATTACTAGAATATCGTCAGCATATTATGCTACGACTTTCATTTCAAATTTCGTTGCTCTTAGAAAAACAGGGAGCATAGTGATCTAGATATTTACCGCACCAGTAAAATGGGCTTCGCTATCGCTCTGCCAAAAATATTTCGCTTGAAAAGTGCAACCGACCGACGGCGTACTACATCCGTGCCATAATTGACCCTGATGTCGTCTAGCCGTTCACAATGCAGAATATCTCAATAGCGAGGGTTTTACTCACAGTAAAATACTAAGTTGCATGACTAGAGGCGAGGTGTACCCTTCTCCTGGATGGTGCTGACTTCCCCGTGAACTGACGCGCGGCACATTTATAAGTTCTGGTCGCTCTCCCCGCCGGACCTGGTTTGATTACATCCACGGCGTCCATACAGATAACCTGTGGTGTTGATAGCCACACCCCGGCTCGGGCTATAGTTGCGCAGGGCGTACACTGACAAACTAAGTTTGCAACTGCAAGTTGAATACCTACAAATGTGCAACTGCAAATTAATACTTGCAAGCGTTGTGCGTCTACGTTTGCTACTTTCTAGTTTGCAAATCCTCGGTTGAGCACTTCCTACAAGTGTTCCAGCAAAAAATAGTATTCAATATTATTCAATTGATATTCACTAGTATTCACGTAATCGTAATATTTACGTAATATCCACAAGTTGTGGACCCCTCCGGCTCTCTTACTGTTACGGTATTTCAACCACTAAAATTGTAGAGGTATTTAGGTAGGGGTAGGTGCGATTGCGACATCTTGTTAGAGTGGAGGCAAATAGGATTACGGTTCAGCATCACGGCACGTCAAAGGGTTGGTGTCGACAGGGGAGGGCGGCTGGCGGTCACTATCGCGCGCCACGGATCGGTTGTATTTCACGGCGGAACGGCCCATTAGGTTGGGGCGAGCCTCCTCTCGTGATGAATCGCTCTCCTCGCGCAGCGCCGCGGACCGCGGATGAAATATGAAGCACTGCTCACTTAAATAATAACAAAAGTAAAATTCCAGCTCACGTTTTTTCATATATATTATTATTTTTCGCCGGTGTTTGTCCAAGTCCAGGCCAGATTTCCAGCCAATCTGGCCAAACTACTTCACATCGTTGTCTACATTACAAGAAAAAGGGGTGGCCATCATTGGGCAGGCCCATTCTTAAGGTGGCCATCATAGGGCATCTCACCCTACCCTACATAGTTACTGCCGGCCGCCGCGGCTAGCTGAATTAAAGTCTGCGTGGCGGACTCGGCGCCGCGCATACCGTGGAGCTGCGGGCCGCGGGCCGGTCGAGGTCCCGGGGGATGGAGTGAGTGGCTGTGGAGATCATGCGGGGGTCGTGACGCCTGTATACTGCTTGCTTGCAGGTGCGTGCGAGTCGGTGTCGCTGCAGCGAGGCTCGCGCGGCCTGGGGCTGTCCGTGTGCGGCGGCGTGGACTGCGCGCCCGACGGGCTGGTGCGCATCAAGCGCCTGTTCCCGCACCAGCCCGCCTGGCAGAGCGGTCGCCTGCGGCCGGGCGACGTCCTCCTGGCCGTCAACGGGGAGCCGCTCAGCGGGCTCACAAACCACGTTAGTAACACTTTCACATTACTACTCAAAAATAAATAGTTTATAAATAGTTTTATGAAAGGTTTGAGACCTCTCTGGCAGTGTGAAATATAAAATTCGTCTGGCGCTGAGTGAACGTTCTGTCTGGTGTTGCAGGAGGCCCTGGAGGTGCTGCGGACCGCCTCGGACCACGTGGTGTTGACGGTGGCCCGGCCGGCCCGGCCGCCGTCCTGGGCGCCGCCCCAACAGCGGGAGCACGCGCCGCCGCAGTACCTGCAGCTGCCGACCGCCGAGCAGCGCCTCGCGCGCCAAGACTCTTGTGGGGTGAGTTGTTTAGGCAGGGGGGCGAGGACTTTCTCTGCAGTGGGTGAAGAGAGAGAGAGAGCGGCGTGTGGAGCTGTGCGAACTAGTCGATCCGTCTTGGAAAATTTGGCAACTTGTCGGTAAAGAGAAAGAAAAGCCCACCGTGCACTCGGGTCACGTGCTGCCGTGCGGCGCGGAAGGCGCGCCCAAGTCCTGCTCAGCCTGTCAGCCTAGAGGAAGGCAGGCCTGCGTGACCGCGGTGCGTGGCGGGTCTGCCTACGCTGCGGGCGTCCACAGCCTAGAGGAAGGCAGGCCTGCGTGACCGCGGTGCGTGGCGGGTCTGCCTACGCTGCTGGCTTTACGTCCCTTTTTGAACTACGGCCTGTGTTTACCAAACGGTTTTCCGTGCTTGCGCGGCTGCCGCAACACCAGACTGCGCAACTCCCAACCTAGGATGATTGTTTTCTTTCCATGATCAACCATGCAATGAAACAAGCATGCTCCCCTCCCTCGTACTAATAATGTGACTTTTTCTCTCTCTATTCCTTCGGCCAGGAGCTGGAAGTGTCGTTAAGCAAGGTGCAGGGCAGCCTGGGCTTCACGCTGCGCAAGGAGGACTCGAGCGCGCTGGGCCACTACGTGCGCGCCCTGGTGCGTGAGCCGGCGCTCTCGGACGGGCGCATCCGGCCCGGGGACAAGATAGTGGCGGTAAGGACTGGATATAAAATAACAACATAGAATGTAACAATATTTTATTTTTATTTTTTTTAAAGCCTACAGTCAAGTTATCACGGGTCGAAGACCACTTTTACAAAAATGATGTCACTCAAGTATTCCTTTTTCTTTCTGCTCGTTTGTGACTAACCCTTTCTTCTCGTTTCTGCCTCAGGTGAACGGCATGGACATCAGCCACATGACGCACGAGGAGGCAGTGCTCTTCTTGCGACAGGCGGGCGACACGGTGCACCTTCGGTTGTACCGCGACGTGGGGCAGACCCCGGTGTCGGCGCTCTCGCCCACCGAGGCGCGACCCAAGACGCTGAGGTAAGACAACTCCGGGCCGGGCCTACCCCTCGCCGTCAGGGCGCAGGGGGTAGCGCCGGACGGAAGATCATAGAGCGACCTCGCGCGTCGTTTCACATATTTTACAGCTCCCACGCGAAAGCTCTGCTGCTTCAATTGCTAGAAGTGTGTGGGCAAAGTCAGTACAAATATAACGCGCCTTCTAGTGATTGTCGTGGTAGATAAATGATCGGTACTCGTCTAGATAAGAAATGGCCCGGGCGCCGAAAACTGGAGCCTGTCACCTGGCATTCGCTTTTGGTGGCCTGCAGGTCACATTTGGGCTAGGTCTGGGCAAGTGCGGGGCTACGTTTGGGCCTACTGCTTGGAACGGGGCAAATGAGACAGTGGTGTATTATTAATTTTGCTGATATCGTGATTGGTTTTCCTTGCCTCATCCATCTAGCAGACACCTTAACGTCACTTGTGTATATTTAATTTTTAGTCTAGTCTACGTGTCTCAAGGTATGTAAAACTTGTTTTCTTTAGGAAGGAGGCCCTGGACATGCTGAGCGACCTGGCTGTGCGCCGGCTGGCCCCGCGGCCGGGCGAGTCCTCCACCCTGGGCAGGCCGCGCAAGGTGGCGGACCGGCCGCAGCCCGACAGGACCGACAGGGCGCACGCGTCCTCGCAGCCCTCGCTGCAGCAGCAGCAGCAGCAGCAGCAGCAGCAGCGCCAGCACCAGCGCTCGCGAACGCAGTCATTTGGGGAGCGGCTGTCGCACCGCTCTCAGGGTGAGTGAGCGGCCGCCACTGTTCAAGAGGTGCCCTTTTGTCATTCAAAGAGAGTCATTTAAGGCCTATATAAGGCCTACAAACTCCTTTCTCCTCTCTGGTTATACTGCACCGCACGCCGCCCAGGCGGCGCCTAGTCACCGAGAAAAATAGAACACTTTAGCATGGCTATCTAAGGGACAGCCATAAAATGACAGATGAGAAAACAATCTCTCAGTGAACAAAGAAGTAAAATTTAATTCGCACAACTTTCTCAAGACTACCGTCAACCGTCGTTTTATCGAGGGGGCCACCACTTCAGGAGGGCGATCGGAGAGCTCCCTGAGAACGCTCCACTTCCGGTCTCCCACTACCCCCCTCACCCCGTTTAAGTCGATTTAGAAGGCGTTTCCGGTTGTTTTCAGGGAGCTCTTCGATCGCCCTCCAGTCTGGGATGTACACAGGATTACGCGGTTACATGGATTACACATGAACTTTGAGGGATTACACGTACACGTGCAAATTCATGAATTTTGTTAAATTTCTGGCTCCAAAACCAATTAATTTGGACGATAAGGTGAAATTTGGTGATAATGTTTTAAAATTTTGTCAAGCATTCACGGAATACATGAGGATTATAGGGATTACACTCTCGTCTGTACACAGGATTACGCGAGTGGTGGCCCCCTCGCGTTTAATAGTTGTTCCTGAGGTAACCATATAATAATTGCTTGCAGCTTTCTCTGGGTGGGTAACTCCACCCCCTTGCATGCGGTTCGGAAAGGGGTCTATAAGCCACTCCGTACTTAATTTTAACCCTGAATATGCCTACGCTTGAACCGGCCCCCGTGGAGAAACGGACGTTTGAAACGGCATTAAAATGATGCCGTTTTAAAATGTCATTTTTCACTGGGCGATATCCAAACTGGACCCTGAACCTGTCTCTTATGCCGAACCCCTCTCTCCGCAGAACTGATCTCATCTAGTCATACAAGCAGGGAGCAGAGTCCCCTCGTGGACCTGGCAGACTCCACCGTGTCCAGCTCGTCCCTCAGCTCGCTGGCCTCGGTGGTGGAGCGGCCGCCGGGGCTCCGCGGCGTCGTGGTCGGGGGCGTCAGGCGGCCCGACTTCCTGGAGCTCAGCGAGCGGGGAGGACCCGGCGCGGCCGCCCCGGGCTGGCACCTGCAGCGGCTGACGCTCACCACTCCCCCCGCCAAGGAGTCTTGGGTGAGTAGAGTTACCAGAGCAGAGCAAGGGTCTCAGACACGCGGCTCGCGGGTCACTCTGGCCTGGTGCGAGAGAGACGAAGCTTCTGTAGTGTGCGTGAGTGCGACCGAGAGGTCCGCTGTGCGGCCCGCGCGTCGTCTGCTCTTCCCTTCACTAGAGATCACGATGAGGGTGGTAGAGACGGTAGGGTGCGGAAGGGGGTGCCTCGGGTCTCTTGCCCAGACGTCTCACGTTTTCTTCATTTGTCTCTTTTGAATTTTCCAGGCCGACGACGGTAAGTCGAGCGACTTTGCGAGTCTGCCGTGTAACAGTCCAGACGAGCGGGTCCGGCCGGGGAACAACTTCAGCCACCGGAACCGGAACCCGGCCTTCCAGTCGGCGCACCCCACGTGCCGCAGCCACAGCCCCGGCCGCGCGCTGGGGACCCTCGGACACGCGCAGGCCTCGCACGGCGCGGAGGGGCGGGACACGCGCGGCGTCAGGGCCGAGGTGGCGCTGCAGGTGAGAACACTCTAAACCTTTATTTTACTTGGAAATTTGCCTACTCACTTCTAAAGTTATGAGCTGTTTCATATTATCAAGAAATGATGAAGTATTACTAAGCCTTTTCCGGGTATTACTTAAAGCTTTCCTATCTTAATTATACGGGGTGGTCCACATACCCCTTCCTTTATTTTGCTTATACTGTACCGCATGCAGGCGTGCGGGCGGGCTTGCCTACTGTCGCTCACCATGGGCGCCTTATGGCTCCGTATGAGTATGCAACCCGTCCGCACGCCTGCATCCGGTACAGTATAAGCAAAATAAAGGAAGGGGTCTGTGGACCACCCTGTAGTTCAAGGAAAACTTTTGGAATATGTACCACAAGGTTCAGTAATACTAAAGAATTTCTTGATAATATACAACAACACAAAACTTTGCGCCGCCACATGAAGGCGACGCGACAACAGAGATGAGCAATTCTGAAATGATCGCAGGAATCTACGCCAGGCGGCGTGACGGAGGGCCGAACCGGCCTGCTCAAGTGGAAAGGGGTGGTTTTTACGCCTGAGGATGACGACAGTGACACGGAGTCGAGCTCTGCACAGGACGACACGATCAGCCAAAGCACTCTGGAAGACAGCAACGGACAGGTCAGCCCTTTCACTAAATTACGGGAGAATGTGGGGTCTTCTTTAATCTTTAAGTACTTCGACCTCTCTACAAATCTCAGAACTTCACTTTATTATTTATGTTTTTAATGTGTTTTCACCCATGTACCGGGTGATTCAGAGAAGACGCAGGTGCGGGCGGGTTTGCCTATCCTCGACTCGGCGGTCGCAAGGGTCCAGGTCTAGGGAGAGGTGAGGAGGGGACCCGTGCGCCCGCCGAGTCGAGGATAGGCAAACCCGCCCGCACCTGCGTCTTCTCTGAATCACCCGGTACGTACAGGGTGTTTTCTTGCTTGTACTGTAATACCGCGTGCAGGCGTGCGGCGGTACGGTGTTCCAAGGTTACAATTAGAGCATGTTTGAGCTCGACTTGCACATGGTTCCCCGAACTCTGATTTGAACCGAACGTGGCTTGTTTGTCTCCTTGCAAACAAGCCACTTTCGGTTTTAATGTGAGATGGGCAAGCCGAGCTCGAACTCTTATTTTGGAACACTCGCAGCGGTGACGGATGAAGGGTTGGCAAATCCGCCCGCTCACGTCTGCATGCAGGACAGTTTAAGCAAAATAAAGGAAGAACGGACCTGTATGTTTATTTTACCAAGTCCTTTGCAAATACAAATTTACAGTGATTTTGATGTTTTGAATGGAAATGTTGTTGTTTTAATATAGGTCTTTACTGTGGAGCTGAACCGTGGTTGGAATTCTCGTCTTGGGTTCAGTCTACAAAGCAGTGGCGATTATTCTGTCATTAGTGCTATCTACAGTGACAGTGTGGCTGCCAAAAATGGGAAGCTAAAAATCGGTGACCGAATTATAATGGTAAGAATAAAGCTTAGAAATATTGATATTCTTCTTATTGATAGAATAAAAAATATTAGCACAAATGTGACACATTTCTTTGATGCCACTGAAAATGTTCCTTTTTTTTCAGGTAAACGATGAAAGTGTGGAAGGAATGGCAACAGCCAACGTTATAGACCTATTCAGAAAAATACGAGGGTCAATTGCAATAACTGTGTGGCGAGAGATTAAGGTGTAGAAATCATAAATGTAGCTGTGGAGTGGACCAGTCTTCTCTATCCCCTTTGCATTCCAAGTGCTTGAGCCAAAGATATTCACAGCACACTGCCATTAAAGATGTAAGCTGGTACATATTTTATCACTAATCAAAACAAATAATCGAGTCCAGAATTCTTGATGTCATTTTTAGGGAAATAACATCAGGAGATAGTCATTATCCAAAGAGATAGCACTAAAACTGATTAAAAGTAGTAAGATACTAGAAGAAAAGCATCTGCAGTAGTGTCATCAAAGACTTTTATGGATGTTTATGTCAATTTAAAACTTGTTAGGCTGGCATTCGCTGCAGTTATCAAAACCTTGTAAATGCTGCAATTTTATTTAAAGAAAAGAGTCTGCTGACAATTATTCAATGAGGAAAACTAGTACCAATGGTACCTTATTTTTAATGTAGTATTAAAAAAAACTTTACCATGAAATTTGATCACAATAAAGCAAATTTAATAAAGTTAGCATGTGTGCGCCTTGTTTTCAGTACGCCTTTCAAAATACTCCTTGACCCCTGACCAAAGTTAAAAGTTAAGTGGCGTGTGTGGTGTATGTAGTAGTAAAAGTACACATTAGGGGCTGTCAAAATAAGATACGGTTTGGCCGACCGACAGACCGACCGACCTACCGTCAACCTCGGAACGACCAGGACGACTGAAATATCGTGTTTGGGGGTTTTCTCGCACGCTGAGTCCAAATCTGGTAGTGCTGATGTCGTCCGGGCCCCCGGGGACGCCATTGAGGACCTCACGAGCACGCCGATGACACTTCCACGACAAATACGATTCGGCTCCAATCGTCGTGTACCTGGGCTCGTGCATATTTCTTAATAGTCGCCAAATATAATTAGTATTAATAGCAAATCGCCCATAATAGTTTATAATTATCCTGATCATTTCACTATTGTCACATGGCCAAGGTGGATTAAGGACGGTGGCGGCACTGCGCTCCCAAGCGCTCACCAGAAGCGGGCTAGTCCGCGAGCGCAGCGTTGCCTACTGCCCAGGGTGAGGGGCCGGCCGGCGCGCGTTTGAAAGCTCTTTTCATTCCCTACAATCGCCTCGCTTTCAACTCCCATCCAAAATGAACAGGAAAGGCGCCAGGAGCGAAAAACCGCAGCCGCGTCGCGATTTGGGCTTTTGCCGTGAAATGTATATTGATGCTGTCGCTGACTGGGTCGTGCTATCGAGCTGGGCGAGGGCTCACTCGATGGGTTAAGACGTGCTCTTTAACCGATATCCTTACATCGACTCCCGAAAAGTCAAAGGAAAGCCCGCGAGGGCCGAAAAACCGTCCTTAATCCACCTTGCACATGGCACTTCCCTGGCGTTGCCGCCTGGA